AATCAAGGAGAGAAGCAACCTGGAATTAAGGAGAAACTTCCTAACAGTGAGGACAATTAACCAGTGGAACTGCTTGCCACCAGAAGTTGTGGGTGCTCCATCACTGGAGGTTTTTAAGAAGAGACTGGACAGCCACTTGTCTGAAATGATGTAGGGACTCCTGCTTGAGCAGGGGGTTGGACTAGAAGACTTCAAAGGTCCCTTCCAGCTCTATTCTGATTATTATTATTATAACTGTCATAAATAGGAGTCAATTGCCAAAGGTCTAAATTTTGATCACATTACCGTGGTGTAATGGTTGCAAGTGTGAAAAACAGTCAGCCACTTTTTCAGTGCCGTTGTAACTTCAAATGGTCACTAAACAAATGGTTGCAAGTTGACTACTAGTAGGTGGGCAATGTACACAGGGATGCTACTTGATTACAGTGCAGTGGCCACCATCTTGCCTCTTTTGACCCCCTCCAAGAGGTGGCACTGAGCATTTTCCTTTACTTTCCCTTCTAATCTCCCTCAATTTTAGACCTGAATAACTAACAGAATAACAGAGTTGGAAGAGACCTTGGAGGTCATCTAGTCCAACCCCCTGCTCAGGCAGGAAACCCTACACCATTTCGGACAAATGGCTGTCCAGTCTCTTCTTAAAAACTTCCAGTGTTGGAGCATTTACTGCTTCTGGAGGCAAGCTGTTCCACTGATTAATTGTTCTCACTGTCAGGACGTTTCTCCTTAGTTCTAGGTTGCTTCTCTCCTTGAGTAGTTTCCACCCGTTGCTTCTTGTCCTGCCTTCAGGTGCTTTGGAAAATAGCTTAATTCCTTCTTCTTTATGGCAGCCCCTGAGATATTGGAATACTGCTATCATGTCCCCCCTTGTCCTTCTCTTCATTAAACTAGACATACCCAATTCTAGCAACCGTTCCTTATATGTTTTAGCCTCCAGTCCCTAATCATCTTTGTTGCTCTTCTCTGTACTCTTTCTAGAGTCTCAACATCTTTTTTACATCGTGGTGACCAAACTGGATGCAGTATTCCAAGTGTGGCCTTACCAAGGCATTGAAGAGTGGTATTAATACTTCACGTGATCTTGATTCTATCCCTCTGTTAATGCAGCCTAGCACTGTTTTGGCCTTTTTGGCAGCTGCAGCACACTGCTGGCTCATATTTAGGTGATTGTCTACTAGGACTCCGAGGTCCCTCTCACAGTTACTACTATTGAGCATGGTGCCACCTATGCTGTACTTGTGCATTTGGTTTTTCTTGCCTAAATGGAGAACCTTACTTTTTTCACCACTGAATTTCATTTTCTTAGATAGCACCCAGTGTTCAAGTCTGTCCAGATCTTCTGTATCTTAAGCCTGTCTTCTGGAGTGTTGGCTATTCCTGCCAGCTTGGTGTCGTCTGCAAATTTGATGAGTTCCCCATGTATCCCTTCGTCCAAATCGTTGATGAAGATGTTGAAGAGCACTGGGCCCAGAACAGAGCCCTGGGGCGCCCCACTACACACTTCCCTCCATATACATCCAGTTCCATTGAGAACCACACGCTGAGTAAGGCCGGTCAGCCAGCTACGGATCCATCTGGTGGTGATTCTGTCTACCCCACATTTTTCTATCTTATCGAGTAGTAGGTTGTGATCTACTTTATCAAATGCCTTACTGAAGTCCAAGTAAATTATGTCTACAGAATTCCTCTGATCCACTAATTTTGTCATTTGGCCAAAGAATGCAATAAGATTTGTCTGGCATGATCTATTTTTAACAAATCCATGTTGGCTTTTAGTAATGACTTTGTTTGCCTCTAGGTGTTCGTTGATTCGTTGTTTGATTATCTTTTCCAGGATCTTCCCAGGTATTGAGGTCAGGCTGATAGTTCTGTAATTTCCTGGATCCATTTTTTTTCCTTTTTTGAGGATGGGAACTACATCAGCTCTTTTCCAGTCCTCTGGTAGTTCCCCTGTGTTCCAGGATCTTTGAAAAATATAGTTCAGTGGCTCCGATATCACATCTTCCAGTTCCTTGAGAACTCTGGGGTGTAATCCATCTTGTCCTGGCGATTTGAACTCATCTAGGCTGGACAGGTGCTCACTAACCATTTTCTTGCCTATCTTAACTTGTGTTTCTGTTTTGTTTTTTATGGCACTATTTTTGATAGGTTGGTCTGTTTTTTCCCTTTGTGTAAAGACAGATGCAAAAAATGAGTTAAATAATTCTGCTTTCTCCCTGTTGCTTGTCACCTTCTTGCCACTTCCACCCACTAATGGACCAATCATTTCCTTCACTTTTTTCTTGTTTTTTACATGTTGAAAGAAGCTTTTTTTGTTATTGTGGCTTTCTTGCCACAATGATTCAGTAAATCACTGCAGTTAAGTTAGTAACACGATCATTACTTCCCTATTGGTTTTTCTCGGCAGAAGCTCGTAAAAGGAGATCCCATGACCTCGGGACACTGCAACTAGGGGACTAGGGGGGACATGATAGCAGTAATCCAGTATTTGAGGGGGGTGCCACAAAGAAGAGGGGGTCAATTTATTTTCCAAAGCACTAGAAGGCAAGACAAGACACAATGGATGGAAACTAATCAAGGAGAGAAGCAACCTGGAATTAAGGAGAAACTTCCTAACAGTGAGGACAATTAACCAGTGGAACTGCTTGCCACCAGAAGTTGTGGGTGCTCCATCACTGGAGGTTTTTAAGAAGAGACTGGACAGCCACTTGTCTGAAATGATGTAGGGACTCCTGCTTGAGCAGGGGGTTGGACTAGAAGACTTCAAAGGTCCCTTCCAGCTCTATTCTGATTATTATTATTATAACTGTCATAAATAGGAGTCAATTGCCAAAGGTCTAAATTTTGATCACATTACCGTGGTGTAATGGTTGCAAGTGTGAAAAACAGTCAGCCACTTTTTCAGTGCCGTTGTAACTTCAAATGGTCACTAAACAAATGGTTGCAAGTTGACTACTAGTAGGTGGGCAATGTACACAGGGATGCTACTTGATTACAGTGCAGTGGCCACCATCTTGCCTCTTTTGACCCCTTACAAGAGATGGCACTGAGCATTTTCCTTTACTTTCCCTTCTAGTCTCCCTCAATTTTAGACCTGAATAACTAACAGAATAACAGAGTTGGAAAGTGACCTTGAAGGTCTTCTAGTCCAACCCCCTGCTCAGGCAGGAAACCCTACACCATTTCGGACAAATGGCTGTCCAGTCTCTTCTTAAAAACTTCCAGTGTTGCAGCATTCACTGCTTCTGGAGGCAGGTTGTTCCACTGGTTAATTGTTCTCACTGTCAGGAAGTTTCTCCGTAGTTCCAGGTTGCTTCTCTCCTTGATTAGTTTCCATCTGTTGCTTCTCGTCCTGCCTTCTGGATAATAGCTTGACTCCCACTTCTTTGTGCAGCCCCTCAAATATTGGAATACTGCTATCCTCTCATCTTACTATCACGTTCATCTTTTCTTCCAAAGAGGCCCTTGGTTAAAAACTGGCAAGTCAGCAATTAAAAAAACAATACTTACAGTCGTTTCTTTTTCTTATCAAGCAACTTTCTTTTTTTTTTTTAAAAACAAAATATCCATTTAGGAATTTACCCAGAGAACCCCATGCTGATGTCATTCATGGACCAAGTCAAGGGACTTTCTCTACCACACAGGCCTCTCTTTCTCTTCAAAGAAGCTCCTTATGAAATGGATGAGTCATCAATCCTCAGAATTGTCTTGGCAGGAAAATACTTGATTATACTTATAAATTAAATATAGGTTTTAGTAAAAAAGGACTAGAAGATTGGGTCATTAGACTTCATTTACATCCTTTATTGTGTCAAAACAATTCATTGGCCGACACTCCAAATTTACAACCCAGAAAATGTCAGTTTTGGAGGCCAAAGAGTGTGGAGATGGGATGAGACAAGAGATTAGAAGAGTATTTCTCAATCTTGGCCGCCTGACGATGTGTGGACTTCAACTCCCAGAATTCCACAACCAGCTTGCTTGCTGACTAGGGAATTCTGGGAGTTGAAGTATTCAGGGTTGAGAAACACTGTTTTAGGCTAAACAGTGGGAATGTAGTCCAATAAAGGAGAATATTTGTAGCTCAGAGTTGAAATGAGGGGTCCTTGGTTGGTTTCATGCAAACATTTCATTACCAAACTATGTAACATCATGAAGAGAAGGACTAGGGGTGACATGATTGTATTGTTCCAATATCTGAGGGGTTGCCACACAGAAGAGGGAGTCAAGCTATTCTCCAAAGCACCTCAAGACAGGACAAGAAGCAATGGATGGAAACTAGTCAAGGAGAGAACCAATCTAGAAATAAGGAAAAATTTCCTGAGAATTAGAACAATTAATCAGTGGAACAACTTGCCTCCAGAAGTTGTGAATGCTCCAACAGTTTTTAAGAAGAGACTGGACAACCATTTGTCTCAAATGATATAGCGTTTCCTGCCTGAATTAGAAGATCTCCAAGATCCCTTTCTATTCTATTCTATTCTATTCTATTCTATTCTATTCTATTCTATTCTATTCTATTCTATTCTATTCTATTCCATTCCATTCCCTTCTATTATTTCCTATTTTATTATTTCCTATTCTATTCTATTCTGTTCTGTTCCGTTCCGTTCCATTCCATTCCATTCCATTCTATTCTATTATTTCCTATTTTATTATTTCCTATTCTATTCTATTCTGTTCTGTTCTGTTCTATTCTATTCTATTCTATTCTATTCTATTCTATTCTATTCTATTCTGTTCCGTTCCGTTCCGTTCCGTTCCGTTCCGTTCCATTCCATTCCATTCCATTCCATTCTATCATCAGTACTAGAAGCAAATAGTGTTTGTGGAGAGGAAGAGGAGGAGGAGAAGGAGGAAGGCTGTAGGGTTCTTGGTGCTGTCTAACCTTGGGTGTCTTATTGCAGATGTTTCATTACCAAACTTGGTAACATCATCAGTGGTCAAACGTGACTATTACAGCTGCTATTGAAAACATGGGCAGAAATGCACGTTCTCACCTCTGCAGGGATGCTTTCTTGAAAACTTGGGTAGAGTGCTAAGGGATGTTGGCTGAGGCAATACTCAACTTGAGCAACCTGGTCCTTCCGGGTTTGGCTCATCAGGCTGAGCTTCGAAGTGTAGCTCTGTGGCTCAGTTAGCACCTTTCTGGATCTCTGGGATGCTCTGAGAAGATTCTTGGGTTTCTCGGAGGGAAGAAGAGGGTCAGGTCTCCTCGCTGGCTGGGCGATGATACCCTCATTTACAGGAAGGAAGTCCTCTCTGGAATAATCCAAATTGCTCTTCAGAAACCTCCAGTGTTGACTGTTCAAGGAAGTGGAGAACCTGGATTTGTGACCGCCGTGCCATTGGGAAAACTGGAAAGGCATGCCTTCACCAGCTTGACCTGAAAAAAAATAGCCACACTTGTTAGAGGTTATGACTTGGTTTGGCTGACCTCGCAATGGCTGGAGTGGGCTGAGCCACCCACGCCAAGCAGGCAAAGCTGTTCTCCATGACTGAATTTACATCTGTGTTGAGGAAAGCTTCTTGGCTTAATTTCATACTTGCAATTTATTCACGCCAGATGTTTTCAGCCTCTGGAGCAGAAGGGTGCAGCTCCTGAAAGCACCAGGGGATTTGCACAGCAGACTGAGAGCAATGTCTAGTTAAGAGAAGGACGAGGGGGGACATGATAGCAGTCTTCCAATATCTCAGGGGCTGCCCTAAAGAAGAGGGAGCCAAGCTATTCTCCAAAGCGCCTGAAGGCAGGACAAGAAGCAACGGAGGAAACTAATCAAGGAGAGAAGCAACCTAGAACTAAGGAGAAACTTCCTGACAGTGAGAACAATTAACCAGTGGAACAACCTGCCTCCAGAAGCGGTGAATGCTCCAACACTGGAAGTCTTTAAGAAGAGACTGGACAGCCATTTGTCCGAAATGGTGTAGGGTTTCCTGCCTGAGCAGGGGGTTGGACTAGATGACCTCTAAGGTCCCATCCAACGTTGTTGTTGTTGTTATTATTATTATTATTGTTGCCATTTTTTCCCTGAAGCCTTCGCCCCCACCAAAACACCCCAGAGATAGAAAAAAGGGGACAGCCCTGCTCCCTCTGGGGGATCCTGACAGTCACAGGAAAAAAATGCTGTTTGGATAGCATTGCTGGGGCACTCTCTGATGTAATGTCCCCATAGACGTCATTCCTAAAATTCAGCTACTTTTCCTACCGCGTTCTATTTATTGATTTTCTCCAGACTTCCAGGTGTTATGGGAAGTCTGGCAGCGGTCTTTTCCTCTGAAAAACGAATTCAACAAAAATGCAATTGCTATAATTTTAAGGTGACCAACCGTCCTCCTTTAGGGAGGACGGTCCTCCTTTTGTGAGTTCTGTCCTCCCTCAAAAAGTGTCCTCCTTCATGTCCTCCTTTTCGATATTTGAAGACTAATCTGCAGGGCTTTTTTCCCCCCTCATAGAACGCTCAGAACGGCATTCCGGCACCTTTTTTAATGTTTTTTTTTCAACTTTTGCTTGTGCTGTGCTACTCCCGCTATTGGCTTTCGAAAGTCAATAGGAATTGCTGCTGAACGTGCCAAAACACCCGGCCAGCAAACTTTGCACCTGCAAGTTGTCTGTATTATTGTTGCAATGAATAAAGCGTTTCTTTTATTTACGTTATTTTTTTCTTCAATTTATTTGTGTCCTCCTTTTCATTGTAAAAAAGTTGGTCACCTTAATAATTTGCTATAAGTTTTTGTTAAGCAGTGGCAGCAGAATTGTTATAAATACAGATCACGGCGACGTGTGTTGTGGGATGTGCTTTTTACTCATAAAAAAATGAAAGTATTATCTCAGGGAATTTTTCCGTATGATTCTTATTCCTCTTTCACTCCTGTCAAACTCATTCTGGTTCCCACAATGTGGATGTAACACCAGAGTAACAACATGAAAGAGGGAAGAGAAAGAGGAGGAGGAGAACTGTGGGGTCCTTGGTGCTCTCTGAGCTTGATTGTTTTCTTGCAGACGTTTCACGACCCAACTAAGTAACATCATCAGTGCTAGAAGGCAGGGGGTGTGCAGAGAGGAGGAGGAGGAGGAGGAGGAAGGAGGAGGAGGAGGAGGAGGAGGGGGAGGAGGGGGAGGAGGAGGAAGAGGACTGTGGGGTCCTTGGTGCTCTCTGAGCTTGATTGTTTTCTTGCAGACATTTCATGACCCAACTAAGTAACATCATCAGTGCTAGAAGGGAGTGGGCTTTGCAGAGAGGAGGAAGAGGAGGAGGAGGAAGAGGAGGAGGAGGAGGAGGAGGAGGACTGTGGGGTCCTTGGTGCTCTCTGAGCTTGAAGATGTTTCATTACCCAATCAGGTAACATCATCAGTGTTAGAAGAGGGAGGGGTTTGCGAGGAGGAGGAGGAGGAGGGGAGGTGGAGGAGGAGGAAGAGGAGGAGGAGGAGGAGGAGGGGAGGGGAAAAGAGGGAGGAGGAGGAGGAAGGGAGGAGGAGGGGAGAACGAGGAGAAGGAGGGGAGGGGGCGAGGAGAAGGAGGAAGTTTTCATGAATTTAAACTTTTCATGAAATTTAAACTTTTCATTAGATGTATATTGATATTACTAACATTACAGTTCTACTTTTATGCTCATTTTTAACCCTGGATGTATGTTTAAAAAAAATCTGTTATGTTCATTAAAAAACAGCATACTCCCCCATGCCCCCCTCCCAACATACACCGAATTTTGGGGCAGAAACTCTTCTTGCTGGTTCTTGTGATTCTTTTAAAACTGCTGGCCCAGTGGCAGTTCCATATCTGGTGAACTTTTTTTCTAAGCATCGGCAGCCGATTTCTGCTCTACATAACAGTGGGCAGAGATTATAATAATAATAGTAGTAGTAAAGTTGGAAGGGACCTTGGAGGTCATCTAGTCCAACCCCCTGCTCGGGCAGGAAACCCTACACCATTTCGGACAAATGGCTGTCAAGTCTCTTCTTAAAAACTTCCAGTGTTGGAGCATTTACTGCTTCTGGAGGCAAGCTGTTCCACTGATTAATTGTTCTCACTGTCAGGAAGTTTCTCCTTAGTTCTAGGTTGCTTCTCTCCTTGATTAGTTTCCACCCATTGCTTCTTGTCCTGCCTTCAGGTGCTTTGGAAAATAGCTTAATTCCTCTTCTTTATGGCAGCCCCTGAGATATTGGAATACTGCTATCATGTCCCCCCTTGTCCTTCTCTTCGTTAAACTAGACATACCCAATTCTAGCAACCGTTCCTTATATGTTTTAGCCTCCAGTCCCCTAATCATCTTTGTTGCTCTTCTCTGTACTCTTTATAGAGTCTCAACATCTTTTTTACATCGTGGTGACCAAAACTGGATGCAGTATTCCAAGTGTGGCCTTACCAAGGCATTAAAGAGTGGTATTAATACTTCACGTGATCTTGATTCTATCCCTCTGTTAATGCAGCCTAGCACTGTGTTGGCCTTTTGGCAGCTGCAGCACACTGCTGGCTCATATTTAGGTGATTGTCTACTAGGACTCTGAGGTCCCTCTCACAGTTACTACTATTGAGCATGGTGCCACCTATGCTGTACTTGTGCATTTGGTTTTTCTTGCCTAAATGTATAACCTTGCTTTTTTCACCATTGAATTTCATTTTGTTAGTTAGTGCCCAGTGTTCAAGTCTGTCCAGATCCTTCTGTACCTGAAGCCTGTCTTCTGGAGTGTTGGCTATTCCTGCCAGCTTGGTGTCATCTGCAAATTTGATGAGTTCCCCATCTATCCCTTCATCCAAATCGTTGATGAAGATGTTGAAGAGTAATGGGCCCAGAACAGAGCCCTGGGGCACCCCACTACACACTTCCCTCCATATAGATGCAGTTCCATTGAGGACCACTCGCTGAGTACGGCCGGTCAGCCAGCTACGGATCCATCTGGTGGTGGTTCTGTCTACCCCACATTTTTCTATCTTGTCAAGTAGTAGGTTGTGATCTACTTTATCAAATGCCTTACTGAAGTCCAAGTAAATTATGTCCACAGCATTCAAGGGAGGGTCTCTCGTGTCCCTTGTGAACGTAATGTAGCCCACGTTAAGGGGTACAGGTAGTCCTCAACTTACAACCGCAGCTGAGCCCAAAATTTCTATTGCAAAGCAGGAGGGTTGCTAAGTGTCCCCGTTTTACAACCTCTCTTGCCACAGTTGTTAAACAAATCACTGTAGTTGTTAAGTTAGTAACATGGATGGGTTAGGTCGCAAAAGGTGATCCCATGTCCCTGAGACATTACCACGGTCATAAATATGAATCAGTTGCCAAGCGTCTGAATTTTGATCACGTGACCGTGGGGATGCTGCAACGGTCGTAAGGGTGAAAAGCAGTCATGTTACTTTTTTCAGTGCCGTCGTAACTTTGAACTGTCACTAAACAAATAGTTGTAAGTCAAGGACTACCTGTAGTTAAAAAAAAACAATTTAAGCTTTATACCAGGGGTCTTCAAACTTGTCGACTTTAAGACTTGTGGACTTCAACTCCCAAAATTCCTGAGCTAGCATGGCTCAGCTTGGAAATCTCTCCCTTTCCCCTCAGCATGGCTGGCTCAGGAATTCTGGGAGTTGAAGTCCACGAGTCATAAAAGCGCCAAGGTTGCCTAACAAATCAATATCAATGAAGGAGAATATTTGTAGTTCAGGGCTGAAATGACGGCTCCTTGGTGCTCTCTGAGCTTGCTGGTTTTCTTGCAGACGTTTCATGACCCAACTAGGTAACATCATCAGTGCTACTGCAACAAATCAGTCTGATCAATAAAGTCCAAAATCAAAGTATCATTTTTTTTCCACCTCAAGCACAAAGTCCAGAAGCAGTTTCCAAGTAGAAACAAAAGTACCTATATCATTTTCTTTTATCAAAGCAGTCAATTTAGCCATCTCTGCTAACGGACTAAGGGCTCACTTTATACCACTGTAGGATGGTTATAGCATAAATCTAATTAGTTCTATAAGGGGACTGGAGGCTAAAACATAAATAACGGTGGCTGGAATTGGGAATGTCTAGTAATTTAATGAAGAGAAGGATGAGGGGGGACATGATAGCAGAGTTCCAATATCTCAGGGGCTGCCCCAAAGAAGAGGAGGTTAAGCTATTTTCCAAAACGCCTGAAGGCAGGACAAGAAACAATGGATGGAAACTAATCAAGGAGAGAAGCAACCTAGAACTAAAGAGAAACTTCCTGACAGTTAGAACAATTAACCAGTGGAACAACCTGCCTCCAGAAGCGGTGAATGCGCCAACACTGGAAGTTTTTAAGAAGAGACTTGACAGCCATTTGTCTCAAATGGTATAGGGCCGTGGTGGCGAACCTACGGCACGCATGCCACAGGTGGCACGCAGAGCCCTCTCTGTGGGCACATGCACTGTTGCCCCAGTCCTAGGCCTTCAGCTGGATTTTATAAAACCTTTTCACTTTAGGCCTCCGCTGCCGTGTGCAAAAAAAAAAAAAAAGGTTCAGTCAATCAATCAATCAATTTCAACTTCTCGTGGGGAAAAAAAAGATCTCGCAAAGTTGGAATTGATTGATTGAACATGTTAGTCCCACCCAGTCTGCCATTACCACCACAGCCACGCCCACCCAATAGGCCACACCCACCAAATGGGCCATGCCCACCCGATTATACATAAGTGCGTTTTGGGTTGCAGTTTGGGCACTCGGTCTTTAAAAGGTTCGCCATCATTGGTATAGGGTTTCCTGCCTGAGCAGGGGGTTGGACTAGATAACCTTCAAGGTTCCTTCCAACTTTATTATTACTATTATTATGGATCATCGCACAGTCAGCCAGATGTTCAGACTGGATTTGGCATTTTGTCTACCTATCAAGTCCTTACCCACGACCTGGGATAGGCAGATGTGGATGTTTTATGGTATTACAGGTATCGTCGCAGGATGGAAGCAGTTCCTAGTAAGGCCGCCTTTTGCAATTGACTAATAGCGAATTTGTCAATGCCAATGGTGTTCAACTGGTGCTCCAGTTGTTTTGGGATTGCACCCAAGGCGCCTATGACTATTGGTACTACCCTTGCTTGCTTTTGCCACAGTCTTTCTATTTATTATTATTATTATTATTACTACTATTATTATTATTACCTTGGACCTTAGTCTTGGATAAACATATTTAGAACCACCATCTTTGACCTTTCTCAGTGAAGATACTGTATAATAAGAAAAGAACATACCAGCAGCTAAAAGCAGCAGAGTAATCCAGCATTTGCATCCACATCAACAACGCACAATAGATTTTTTTGCAAATATTGCTTGAAAATGTTGTCTTGGGGTTGTGTGCAGCACACAACCTTTCTGAGTCTGCACCTGGCAGCAGGCTTTAACTCTGCAGGAGAGGAGACAAGCGGTTGTGTTTCCAGAGGCGCACCGGGAGAATCTGGTGTGTTTGGGATTGGTTGTTTTGACAACCAGCTCTGCCCAGCTATTTATGCATGAGAGCACGCGCAGGCCTTTTCTTCTGAGGAAAAATTGTCCGCGAGGGGGAAAATTGTTGGTGCCAAGGAGAGTATGGTTAATGCAGCACTTGAAGGAGGATTTGGCTTGTGTCACTCCATGGTGGTTTAGAGCTGGCTTAGGTAACTGGAGGCTAAAATATGAAGGAATGTTGCAGGAATTGGGTATGTCTAGTTCAGGGGTAGGCAACCTTGGCTCTTTTATGACTCGTGGACTTCAACTCCCAGAATTCCTGAGCCAGCCATGCTGAGGGGAAAGGGAGAGGTTTCCAAGCTGAGTCATGCTGGCTCAGGAATTCTGGGAGATGAAGTCCAAAAGTCATAAAGCGGCCTAGGCCTAGGCCAGAGATAGGTATCCTTGGCTCTTTTATGACTCGTGGACTTCAACTTCCAGAATTCCTGAGCCAGCCATGCTGAGGGGAAAGGGAGAGGTTTCCAAGCTGAGCCATGCTGGCTCTGGAATTCTGGGAGTTGAAGTCCACGAGTCATAAAAGAGCCAAGGTTGCCTACCCCTGGTCTAGTTTGATGAAGAGAAGGACGAGGGGTGGCATGATAGCAGTGTTCCAGTATCTCAGGGGCTGCTACAAAGAAGAGAGAGTCAAGCTCTTCTCCAAAGCACCTGAAAGCAGGATAAAAAACAATGGATGGAAACTAGTCAAGGAGAGAAGCAACCTAGAACTAAGGAGAAACTTCCTGACAGTGAGAACAATTAATCAGTGTAACAACCTGCCTCCAGAAGTTGTGGGTGCTTCATCACTAGAGGTGTTCAACAAAGGATTGGACAACCATTTGTCTGAAATAGTATGCTTTCCTGCTTGAGCAGGAGGTTGGACTAGAAGACCTCCAAGATCCGTTCCAACTCTGTTATTCTGTTATTCCGTTAGTATAAGCACTAGGACAGTCAGGCAATGCTGGCGTCCATGCATCCTAAAATCAAAGAATTGTAGAGTTCAGATGACCTCAGAAATCATTGAACCCAGCTACTGGCCAGTACATCTCTCAAGATCCAAGGCAGGTCCTCTCCCTAAAGATGAGGGTTTTTTTTTCTGGCTCTCAAAACAAGGTTTTCTGCCAGCAAAAGCTGATTGCAACCAAGGAAATTCGGTTGGACAAGTCCAGACAACCTTCCTTCTCTTGTCGTGCCAAAGCTTGCAATTCTTAATCAATGTGAACTCTGCTACCTGTCTGCCAGGCTCGGTTAGGGCTTATCATGAAGTGTGCACCAGCTTGATTAAACCAAGGTCTTCCCAGTAATTGAATATCTGCACAGGCTGCAAATGCATTGGGGTCTTTTTTTCAGACTTTTCTCATGGAACAAGAGGCTTTTGATTCAGTTGGAACTTGCACCTTTCATTTATGGGTGATGCTGACTGAGACGTTTGGGAACTCCACTTCCAAAATATTTGGATGGTGCTGGAAAAGGAGTTAAAAATGTCCAGATTCCATCATCAAGTCCACCTTCACCCTAATCTGAAAACAACCGCTCTCTGATCATCTTCAGGTACTAAAGATAGAAGAACTGTGAGGTCCTTGGTGCTCTCTGAGCTTGGTTGTTTTCTTGCAGACATTTCATTACCAAACTAAGTAACATCATCAGTGCTAGAAGGGAGTGGGGGGTTGGCTTTCTGTTTATATGCAGTGGCTTGTCTTGTGAGTGTTGGTACCAACAGTGTTATAGACTTATATATAAACAGAGAATAAACCCCACTTCTTCTGATGATGTTACCTAGTTGGGCAATGAAATGTCTGCAAGAAAACCACCAAGCTCAGAGAGCACCAAGGACTCCACAGTCCTCCTCCTCCTCCTTCACTCCACAAATCCCACTCTCGTCTAGCACTGATGATATTACCTAGTTGGGCAATGAAAAGTCTGCAAGAAAACCATCAAGCTCAGAGAGCACCAAGGACTCCATAGTTGTCATCGTCGTCGTTGTCCTCCTCCTCCTCCTCCTCCACTCCACAAACCCCACTCTCTTCTAGCACTGATGATGTTACCTAGTTGGGCAATGAAATGTCTGCAAGAAAACCATCAAACTCAGAGAGCACCAAGGATTCCACAGTCCTCTTCCTCCTTCTTCTCCTCCACTCCACAAATTCCACTCTCTTCTAGCACTGATGGGCAATGAAACGTCTGCAAGAAGGTCAGAGAATACCAAGGACCCCGTAGTTCAACCTTGGGTACAAATATTCTCTTCTGTTGATAGAAGAGATGGCAGTTCTTTACTAACATCGGGTATTTGACCTGGGGAGTGAACAACTCTTAATCTGGGCCTACATAATTCCATAATCACAATACAGTTCATACTCCATCACTTTTGGAGACAATTGACCAGAAACTATGGAGAACACCAGAACATCCCCCAACAGGCCTGAAAGGGGTTAATGAAACCTTATGGAAAAACCCTGAGTTTCAACTTCTAATATCGCTACCATTTAGTAGAACTTGGTGGAGGTTTCTGGAAAATCCCCAGCCTATGTCTTCCTAGAGATTGTATCATATTGAAGTTCATGATTAACCGCAAAGACCACAGTGTCTGTGGTGTAGAGGTATTTTGAGAAGGACATGTCTGTGGACCCTCAAAATGTACCCCACATGGCATTTCGCAAGGCTTGGCAAGCAAATGACTCGAAGAGTTCTACTCAATGGTATAACTGTTACACAATCTACTTACATTTGTGAATAAATTAGCACAAATGTTTTCTCTAAAATAAAGTTGCATTCCTTTACTAGGGATTCGTCCAAAGCAGCTGTGGGGTGTTGAACTCTGGACCAGATGTAGTGTTTGTTTGTTTTTTCCCCAGGGCCAGAAAAACGAACTTTAGTAAAACAAGAAAAATTTCCTTCCAAAGCTATAAATTATTTGGACTGAATGTATCCTCTTTTCTCCACTTAGCAAAACATGATTTGTAAGCAGACAAACAAGTAAACAACTGGCATTTTTCATAAAAACCATACGTTCCTACAATTATTCCCCATTTCTATTCTCCCAGCCAAAAAAATACTTTTTGTTTCATTTCCAGGACTGATTCTCCAAAACTTTCTTGGCAGAATTACTCACATGGGAAAAATCAGAAACAATGTTTTAGATTACTTCCTTCCTCTTTCACACTAGCATTGCTAGAATTTGCTCTGCTGGCTTTGAGGGAACACACACACACACACACACACACACACACACACACACACGCATATAATTTTCCACATGCTAAAGAAATTTTTGCATTTTGCATTTTGGTAGGGTTTCCACACCCTAACCCTAAACCTTTTTTAACTTTAATTTTAATCATGATGAGATTGTTACAGGTGTTGAGGATCCAGAGTTGGGAAAAAACAAATAGATAAACAAACAAATAGGAAATAAATGAATCAGCAAGCTTCTCCAGGTAACCCTGCAAAAAATACATTAAAAAACCAACAGACAAAAAGAAAAAAAAAGACAAACCCAATCTGTTCATCAATTAACCATCAATTAAAGTTTCCCCTTATGTACCAGATGGAACAAGGAGATTTTAACAGCTTTCCCAAAAGCCAAATGAGACTGGGCTGATTCAGTCTCTGTGGAAAAGTGTCCCAATGTATGGAGGTTACCTATGAAAAAAACTCCTTCTGAAGCCTATCAGATAGCAATCCCCAAGGAACAGGACAGGCAGAGGACTATAGGAGCAGATACCTCTTCAGATAACAAGACTGTCAGGTCTTCTTTAAGAATAACAGAGTTGGAAGGGACATTGGAGGTCTTCTAGTCCAACCCCCTGCTCAGGCAGGAAGCCAAATACCATTTGAGACAAATGGCTGTCCAGTCTCTTCTTAAAAACTTCCAGTGTTGGAGCATTCACAGCTTCAGGAGGCAGGTTGTTCCACTGATTAATTGTTCCCACTGTCAGGAAATTTCTCCTTAGTTCTAGGTTGCTTCTTTCCTTGATTAGTTTCCCTCAGTTGTTTCTTGTCCTGCCTTCAGGCGCTTTGGAGAATAGATTGACTCCCTCTTCTTTGGGGCCACCCCTGAGATGTTGGAACATTTCAGCTCTTCTTTGTTTGAAGGAGTGTTTCTCCTCATCTATTAGCAACTCCCAGAATTCCTGAGCCAGCCATGCTGAGGGGAAAGGGAGAGTTTCTAAGCTGAGCCAAGCTGGCTCAGGAATTCTGGGAGTTGAAGTCCACAAGTCATAAAAGAGCCAAGGTTGCCTACCCCTGGTCTAGTAGTTATTCCTAGGCACCAGGCTAAAAACAGAGAGGCAGGGAGTTCTAGTCTTGCCTTAGATATGGAAGCCAGCTGGGTGACTTTGGCCAATCACCAGGAGACTGTGAGTTCTAGTCTTAGGCATGAAAGCCAGTTCGGCGAGTTTGTCCAGTCACTCTCTCCTAGCCTAACTCATCTTAATGGTTGTTGTTGTTGTGGGGAAAATAGGAGAACAAAGGTAAGATAAGATGAGATGAGATGAGATGAGATAAGATAACCTTTATTGTCATTTTTATACTGTGGGCACAATGGCACACATCAAAAATGAAATTTAGTTGCCCGCTCTCAAAGTGAAACACATACATGACACACACCTAAACATACTATGAACAACATATGTATAGACCCACATCCCTACATATATGTAGCAAATAAATATTAAATATTGTCCATCTTGAATATATAACGGAAGGAGGAAGGTGTGTTGGATATGTTCATTGCCTTGAGTTGTTTGTAATTATAATAAAGGTGGTCTACAAATAAATAAATAGATGTCGTGGATGATGTAATCAGGGCTGAGATTCACCTGGGCAGGTCATCTGCTTTCCTCCATCTTCAATATCCTGGATTATGGGTCCAACAGCCTATAAGCATCTGAATGTTAACACAGGCATAATCACAAAAGTTGTGGATCCTGAAGTGAGGCCCAGGGGTTTCACTCTTAT